AATTCATGATCATTTCACTATTAACTGCATCTATCATGTCCTTTAACTAATTCAATAAAGTCCTTTAACTGACTCAAATGTCTCAAAAATTCCACTATTTAAAGGACCATCTTGATGAGATAAAAAGAATTATATAGAGATAAAAATTTTACAATAAAAGGATGAACCATTCAGATGACAGTCAGTCTAAAATAAGTCAGTTTGTATATAGCATTACAACAAATTAAATACTTAACGCTTGAGTGTCATGGGTTAATATGGGTAGAAAATACAATTTAAATTTATTATTCAAATATGAATATGTTTTAATTCTTTTTAAGACTCATTTTAGTTTGATAAAATGTGCTGTTTTAACCAACATGGAATTGTGGATATTTTTCGATTACATGCACCTTAATGTAAGAGTGCCACTGTTAAAAAAAAGTGAACATCTAAATAAATAAATAATTAATAAATAAATAAATATTCCTCCTCTCTTTTAATAGCTGGTCTCTTTATATAATACGGCAAAATGCCGCGAAATCAAATCATTGCTGTAGTGAACACCTACCAACAGTGAACATTTTTTCTTGGCAAAAAATTGTTCACTATACACAGGTTTTACTGTAAATATTGATCACATAACAGAATCAGTAGTGAAAGGTTTTAGTTTCATTCACCTTCTAGATCCGGCTTTACTGAGCTCATGAAAAGAAGTGAAAAATTACACTTGGCTTATGGAAAGTTTCATATGAAACAAGAACTTGCCTCTATCGATACCGATACCTCACGTTTCTCCACAATGTTATATTTCTTTTTTGTTTGTCTCATTAACCCTTAGGTAAACATAAACAGCAGTTTCTTTACTAAAACATTGCTTAAAGCATATCATTTCAATCATTCATATTATTTCTATAGGATTAACATCAGTGGTGATATCAAGGATCTTAAAATCATGGATCATACTAAAGCATATAAAGAAAACTACATGGATACTGCATATACTAGATCTTTAGCAAACTCTATAGATGAGACAAGTGAACAGCCATATAATACCTCAGGCTTTTGGCCTTGAATGGTTTTGAGATCACCGAAACGATATTTAGTTTCGATGACGTATTGGTCAATTTTAAGATTCAGGGAGTATCTCAACATTTCATTTTACAAAGATGTAACTTTCTCCAAATTTGAACTAGAAGCTTCAAATAAAACAAATTTTAAAGCTATTTTCTTCTATCTAATGACTCTATTCTTATTGTTTATTTGGGGGGTGCCATCTCACCCCGCCCCTCTCCCCCCTGGCTACACCAATACTGCACTATACACATGTACCAGGGGTTTCATTAGCAGCAGGCAACAGGCAATTTTCACTTGTTGTTTTCACAAAATTGCCTGTTGTTTTTAGGGACTTTTCAACTTTCCGTGTTAAAGGAAAAGTCTCCGTTTGGAGAACAGTCTCTTCGGCTCAAAATTTTTTAATGAAAAATATAGAAATAACACTCAAATTAAATTATGAATATTCAAATGAGGACATTTAATCTACATTAAAAAATATCAAAATTGTCCGAAGCAGGTCTAATGTGCAATAGACCGATTCAATGAAACATAAGTCTAGAAATCTAGTCTTGGAGAAATAAGTTCATCAGTTTATGATGCTAATAATTTTTTTTATGAAAATGAAGAAATATCACCCAAATTAAATTTCAAAAGAGAACATTAAATCTACAAAATGTAAAAATGCAAAAAAAGACTTAACTTGCAAATGAAATATAAAATGAACTTAATTTGTTTCATTGCAATATTCAGCCTCTTTGACACATTTTTCTGATGACAATATTCAGTGAAAATGTATTCATAATGGGAAAAAAAGAAAATGAAAAACTGAATTAGCCTAGATATAGTCATTTAATCTAACATAAGCAAATCAGAATACTGAGAATATGGCTGGTATTTTTTGGTAGTTCTTCGCAGGATCAAAACTGAGCATTTCTCTGAATTCATTGAGTCTGATATATTCAGCTCTCTCAATGAATCCCTGAATCAGCTGTATCTTATACTGAAACTGATAACTGGAATTCCCAGATTAAAATAGGTGTGTAACCACTGAGGCAATTTACACACTAATTTATATGCTCCCGCACCAGCCAATTCTCAGATATGAAATCGGGGACCAAAAAAATTAAGGAGCGTCGTTTCTATTTTAGTTACGGTTTACTTAATATTTAAATCACTATTCAGAACATTTTGAAGAGGTGACAGTCAGTTTGCGTCAGGTATGAGCTTAGTTTTTTGTTTTTGATATTTTTCTAAATATAACAATAAGAATAAACAATATTTAATTCAATTTAATTTTTTAAGGAAAACTAAAAGTGAATGAAAACATAAACATCAAAAATAAAAATATGCAAAACAACTGTTTTCAAAAAAAATTCAAAACATTTACATATAAAATAGAACAGAGCAGAATAAAAATGTTTTTTATTTACATCAAGAAGTTTTCATCTAAAGAAATATTGCTGTATGGTAATTCTTAATTATTTAATTTATAAATATTTATTTTAAAAATATGCAAATATTTTTAAATAAACTTTCTCAATCTAATATAATCTTAATAAAATAACAAGAACACAAACGTGTACAATATGTCCCCACCAATGGGTGATCCTGTCAAATGGATATCCTGATAATGAGTAGTCAAGACTTTATCGTTACAATTTTGGGATGGAAAATTAGTCAGCTCTAGATTTTCATACTAAGAACCATCCCTGAAAATTAGAAATTGATCTACCAAACGGTTCACCTGGAAATGCGTAGACAAGACTTTACAGACAAGATTTTAGGACGGAAAATCCAAAATGGCTGCCTTGACATTACCCAGAATGCCCGAAAACTAATCAGATCTAGATTTTCATACTAAGAATCATCCCTGAAAATTTGAAATTGATCTACAAACGGTTCACCTGGAAATGCGTAGACAAGACTTTACAGACAAGATTTTAGGACGGAAAAATCCAAAATGGCTGCCTTGACATTTACCCAGAATGCCCAAAAACTAATCAGATGTAGATTTTCATACTAAGAATCATCCCTGAAAATTTGAAATTGATCTACCAAACGGTTCACCTGGAAATGCGTAGACAAGACTTTACAGACAAGATTTTAGGATGGAAAATCCAAAATGGCTGCCTTGACATTTACCAAGAATGCCAAAACACTAATCAGATCTAGATTTTCATACTAAGAACCATCCCTGAAAATTAGAAATTGATCTACCAAACAGTTCACCTGGAAATGCGTAGACAAGACTTTACAGACAAGATTTTAGGACGGAAAATCCAAAATGGCTGCCTTGACATTACCCAGAATGCCCGAAAACTAATCAGATCTAGATTTTCATACTAAGAATCATCCCTGAAAATTTGAAATTGATCTACCAAACGGTTCACCTGGAAATGCGTAGACAAGACTTTACGACAAGATTTTTGGACGGAAAATCCAAAATGGCTGCCTTGACATTTACCAAGAATGCCCGAAAACTAATCAGATCTAGATTTTCATACTAAGAATCATCCCTGAAAATTAGAAATTGATCTACCAAACAGTTCACCTGGAAATGCGTAGACAAGACTTTACAGACAAGATTTTAGGACGGAAAAATCCAAAATGGCCGACAATAAAAAAGTGATGATGAGTTTTTGCTGATTTCTTCTTACAAAATTATCACATATAACTACTGTTAACAATAACATAGGCTATTACAACAAAGTACACCTGAAATTATTTATAAAGCTACTAAATAGTTAAAGTATGAAAACTGAAAAACACCATTCAATATGATACAAAGTATTATCGCGCGCTAACTTTTCTTAAAACATTCAAAATGGCTGACATGACTGAGCTAACAGGTCCAAAACCTAATCAGATGTAGAATGAAGTGAGCTGAACAAGATATTAAAGTTTTAAAAGCAACTGTGAAGCCGTTTTTCTTAAAGTTTGCAGACAAGGATTTTAGCATTTGACTTCAAAATGGCCGACAGGAAGTAGGTATCGAGTTAAATTTTTTTCATCCACATCTGTATGCACTCATAAGTTATCCCTGAAAATTTGAAGGTGATATCTGTAGCTGTTTTGGAGAAAACTGCCGGACGTACGGACAGACAGACAGACAGATGGACAGACAGACGGACAGACAGACGGACGCGCCTAGGCCGACAATATGGCCCCACACTATGTGGTGGGGACATAAAAAGGCCAAATGGATGAATACCAGTATTTGTTTTTCACAATTAACTTTTTAATACAATCATCTAAAATCATCTCAGTGATCTTAAAATTTTATAAGAAAGCCAAGCAACAAAATTATCAATTAGCATTTCATCTGTAGCATTTTTAAATGACCTGTTTTTATATTAAAAAAATCAAATTATAAGGATTTATGAGAAACTTTGTCAAATTAATGGTTTTTATCTAATGAAAAAAAGCAACAAAATTATCAGTTAGAAAATGTTTATCTGTAGCATTTTTAAATGACCTGTTTTTGTATAAAAAAATCAAATTATAAGAAATTATGAGAAACTTTATCAAATTAATTGTTTTTATCTAATGAAAAACAAGCAACAAAATTATCAGTTAGAAAGTGATTATGTCTCTTTTATATGAACTGTTTTTGTATAATATTAAAAAGATAACAAAATTATCAGTTCACATGTATCTTCTTAAAAATATAACATTTATAACTTACATTAATACTTTTCTAATACATATATAACAAATTGGTACCACTTGAATATGCTCTTTTGTATTTACTATATTACCCCATGTACATCTATTTTATATAATAAACAAATAAAAAAAATTGGTACCTGATATACAACAGGGTAAAATTACTTTTTACTTGCCACGTTATTTAGAAAGCTACAAAAATGATTGTGAAGTGTGATACTGTGTGTCTTGTTGAATATAGTTTGTAACAAAATAATTCTTTTTTTTACTTTAACATCAAAACCATTATATATTTTCAGATATAAGCTTTATCAAAGGAAAGTACTAGACATCTTCAAAACACAATGTCGCAAAATCAGAGTGAAAATGAGGCCGCTAAAGTTCTGCCAGATTTGGGTTCAGAATACAAATACCACGCCTTCATTGCATATGCGCATGAAGATAAAGAGCTCGCAGAAAAAATTGCAGAAATACTGGAACCTTATGGTGCAAAACTCATGTTTGCAGACAAGGAGTTTCAGCCAGGGAAAACAATTGTCGGGAATATTGAAGAAAAGATCCACCAATCACGTCGCTTGCTTGTAATTTGCTCCAAAAAGTTCACGGAGAGCAACTGGGCCCAATATGAGGCAATTCAAGGTAATTCTATTTGCAATATTTAAATCTTGTACAGGGTTTTGTCATTGTTAGGCCCCGGGCTCTTATATGAAAATAAGACCTGGGTGTTAATTTGGGTTCCAAAAGATGAAATGTCAGAAAAATAGGTTCTCCTTGTGTTTCTAGCCAGTTCCAGGTATTCGATAACATAGTGGTCAGTTTGTACAGATATTGAAGCCAATCAAATGACCCATGATTCACAAAATGTAAACCCCATGTTATCCATGACTAAGAAAATGTACCCCATGTATGTCTGTAATTCATATCATGATTTACAAAAATGTACTCCCTATAAATCGCAAATCATTCAAAAAATGATGATGTAACCCATGATTTACAAAATGTAAACCCCAATTAAGCAATAGGTAAAATGCATTCCCTGTTGCCAGGCATACAGGAATGATGACATAACCCATGATTTACAAAATGTACGAGGGTTGTCCCAGAAGTAATGCACTATATGCTCTAACTTTATCAATAATTGATATTTTTCCATGAAATTTTCAGTAAATGTTCCTTAGAGACATTTTGATTATTCTACAAATTTTCATGTTGACTGATAAAACTATATTGATGTTATAATAAAATCAAGTTGGTGAGTTTGGGTAGGGCGGGGCAGGTCATACAGTCACGTCAAAAGGAATAAAAAATTGAAAATATGAAATAATTAATCAACAAATACCATTTGGTGTAGCTATAAGAAGTATGCTCAAAAATACATTTTAAGATACTAAATTACTATGAGCACATCCTAGATTTAATGGATGTATATTGCACAGTGTCCAATTTCCCATCTTTCTCAAAATATTGCCCTTTGCATGTTATGTACTTTTGATGCCTGTCAGGTCAAACACTCTCGGCATTTTCTTCCACTGTGACTTGTGAAGTTTTTGCCTCCCATGTTTGGAGTTGTAATACAGGGTCAAATCGTCTCTTTTAAATCTCTTCTGCCACCCCATAATTGTAGTTCTATCTGGTATATACTCCTTATATACTTTCTTCATGGTAGCATTGTTTTGAGTGGCTGTGAGTCCAAGTGAAGTATGAATTTAGGCCACCAAACGCAAGGCCTTCTGTTATCAGGTGAGAATTGCAGCCATTTTTGTAATTTCTTGACTGTGACTGTATTTGAATTCGTGACTATTGAAATGTGGTATTATGACATCACAGTGCTAAATGTCATTATTCGTACTTGGTTAACATCATGCTGAATAAATTTAACAATTTCCTAAACATTTTGACCATTTAAAGGAAAGAAATATTAATAAAATAACACTTTAGATCTTTTCATAATTAGAAAAATTGGTACCTGCCCCGCCCACCCCTACCCCCATGTTGTTATAGCAACCATATTAAGACTTAATATTAATGTTAGATGCTGAAACTTCAGGATATAATAGATAAAACTTCAATTGATATATACACAAAATCTCAGCTGAATTGAAGAATATTAAAAAAAGTTAGAGCATATAGTGCATTACTTCTGGGACAACCCTCGTAAACCCCAATTAAGCAATATGATTTACAAATTTTACTCCCCTTTTCCAGGCATACAGAAAATGATGACATTGGGCAGTCAGTTTGTCCAGATAGTGAAGCACAACATCCAACACTCTGACATGCCAAAATACCTGAACTGGTTGACCTACATAGAGTCAGATGCTGAACCAGAAGAATTCAAAAAGAAAATCATATGGGCATTATCAGGTAATATTATTGGTCAGTATGTGAGCCAATCAGATTCAAGTATATTGTCAGGTAATATATTATTGGTCAGATATGAGCCAATCAGATTGCAAGTTGTGTGAGCTGCATATGAGGTGTATTTTGAATAAAGCGCACAAAGCTACTTGGGAACCATGATTTACAATATGTAACCCCCAAACATTCTGTTATAGGTGAAACAGCTGTATTCGCAGGAGTAGAAAGCTACAAGCTGCTGGGCAATGGTGTGGGGAAGGGCCTTGCTTACTCCTATTTCTTCAGCTACTTGAGTGTCATCTTACCAGGTAAAAGCCAAATTATTAGCCATTATGAACTAGGTGTTCTGATAAGATGGTACCCCAATAAAATAGGAAGAGCTTTTATGAATCTATGAATTTTTCACATGATAAAGATATTCATTTTCTAATTTGCAGTTAAAACTTTATAGAACTTGTGTATGACAAGAAAGTTGACATTTTAATCTGATTCTTTTAACCCATCAATACTTGTTAACAGACTTATGGAATTAGGCTTTAAAGGGTGACGCATATCGTTTAGCAAATTGAACGCTCGTTTCTGGTGTTGCTCACCGTTTAGTATAAGAGGCCCGATTCCGGAATAATACTCAAGGGTTCACAGGCTCGAGGTCGTTGTGTCAACACCTTTAACTGTTATATAGCATAAGTATATTATAGATTGTCACATATTTATAAAACGGTGATTTTTATTTTGACAAATCAATTCCACATTTATAGGTGAAGTTTCAGGATCTTCTATTTGTGTATGATAAAAATGATATGATATAAATTTCCCCATAACGTAATAGCACACAGCTTGGTATATGAAATATCCTACAAATGAAACAAAGCAGTTCTAATACAAGGATTTATATTGGCTGTTGTACATATTCTTTGAACGCAATCACTCTATGGATAATGTTTTCAAAATCATTATAAACGGATTACTTTATCTCAAAGAAAATTTCAATAAACTGGATTTTACAGAACTCCCCTTATTTCTTAAAAATGGACTGATCCAGTCGATTCGCCTGGAGCCGCCATATTGTTTTTACACGGGATGCTTATCGGAACCCTTTAACTCTAAGCTTTCACTTTAAATTCTTTCAAAATTACTGATACCCCTCTCATTATTAAGTAATTTTAATGTTAATGCTTTTTAAATCTTAGCAATTAGCATTATCTTCTCAATCTTTATAATGATGAACAATATCATAAATTTTCGAAATTTTTTAGGACTTGCTGATAAGGTTGAAAAGCACCTGAAGAAACCAGGATATGAAAATGTCAAAATGCCGAAGAAATTTTTCTTGTTGGTCCCTGAAACGGCAGATTTGCCACATTCGATTGTCAAGCATGATAAACAAATTGTAATCCAAGACAAAGAGAATGATCAGTTCTCACAGATGGTCCAGAGAGGAGGTTCTGAAAGACCTTACAAAAATACAATTCTTACCATAATGGATGGGCCACAGGTGAGTACTTATTTGAATGTACTCATTGTATATATGTATAAAAATTGTAGATAGTGTAAGGGTACAGGTTTTACTGTACTTGTACACCCTCTACAGATGAATGTTCTTTATGGCCTTTGTTAACTGAATGATTTACTTAAATATTCAACTAAAAAAAAGTTTTTCCTAGCAATTTTTATCAAGTGATTTACATTATAGATTACGTCAATTAATCATGAATTTTTCCTCATGTAGAAATACCAAGTTCTGGCCGAATATGCCACAGTGCTGCTCCCTATCCATGAGATGTCACAGACAGACATGATTACCATCACCGATCGTGACAAATTATTCCAAGTGCAGGAGTTTGTCAGGGAACTTGGAACTATATTGTTACATCCCAAATATGCCCGCCTTGGTGGAATGGTGGAAATTGTGCCATTGAACGAGGAGGAAAATCGGGAAGGAAACTTGGCTGGTGTTCTCTTGGAGAAAATTAAGGCCTCTGTACTTGAAGATGGAGTAACACAAATGAGTGTGGATGATTGAGCATTTCAGAAAAATTCATGAACATTTCAGAAAAATTCATGACATTTCAGAAAAATTCATGAACATTTCAGAAAAATTCATGAACATTTCAGAAAAATTAATCATGAAATACCAATCACTGGCAGAATATGTGTCACTGCAAGGTGTATATATTTCTTAAATTTCTTTTTTAATGAATTCATTAATTTAATTTAAAATCATTGATTTATCCAACAGCTGTCTAATCTGAGCATCTCTTAATGTGATCTTTTAAATCTCCCATTGACTTTCATGTTAGAAAACCATAAAATAAAAAGATATGCTGTAAAAAGATTTACTGTACATAAAATATGTGTCAAAACTTTGGAATTATGTCAATTTCAAAAATGAAAATAAAAGTATGAAAATATGCCAATAGTAAATGGACTCTTATATTATTGTATATACATGCATAAAAATAAGTGGCAAGATTTCAGAGTTATGTTTATTATTTCAGCTTCTGATTGTATTTTTTTGAATAACTCATAACACAGGAACATGATTTATAATTTATAACAGGTATATATGATTTATAATTTATAACAGGTATATATGATTTATAATTTATAACAGGTATATATGGTTTATAATTTATAACAGGTATATATGGTTTATAATTTATTCTGTTGTTCAAATGCATGTACATGTACATCATAACTTTCAACTTGATTCTAAACATTGTTTACATTAATTCATTTTATCTTTAATTATTTACTTAAGAATTGGATTGAATGAGACTACGGGTTAAGTCAATCATCAAATCTTAAATCGTAGTTCACAAATGTATGGAAAATGAGAAAATTCAGTGAGTTAATCGTATTATGCATGAGTTATATTAACCTGAAAATTAACATGGGAATGGACAATGAATTATATGTAAATCAATATGTGTAAATAATGCATTGTGGTATTTCTTATAAATCATAGAAATCATATTTAATCATAAAAATTTTAAATTGAAAATTTAGATAGTAAAAATAATACCAGGAATACCAGGGGTTTCATAAAAACAGACAATATAGATGATTATACTTTCCATGCAGAAAATCAAAATTTTTAATTATTTTGCCAATGCTTTCCATTATTTTGCCTGTTATCTCTGTAAACAAACTTGATGTGACACAGGTACTAGCCTTTTTTATTGTTTGTTTAAATGTGGGACTGTTACATACATGGATATCCAGGTCCAAGGCTATGTATATATGTTGGATTTAATTTTAATAAAATAAAAAAATGAATATATATCATATCTTTATATTAACTAACAAAAATCGAAATGATATAAATATGAGGGGGTGTATCCTTAACCAAGATGTATTGTAACCCTCCCCCCCCCTGCCAAAAAGAGAAAAATAAAATGGTGTTGTTACTGTAGTACTGTAAATTTGAATTTTGATTCATATAGAAGTAAGGTAATGTATACTATTATAAATCCTATTAGTTGATCACTGTACAACAAAAATAAAATTGATGAATAAATTTAGATTAAATTATCTTCATATGGTTGTTAAATACTGTACTGCATAATTATTCCAAGATATAAGGCAAATAAAAAATGTATAAGGTAAACGAGGGTTTTGAAATATGTTATTCCTAATATAATATCTCTCCCCTTTGTAATTCAGTGAATGGCCTGCAGAGTACCAACATATCATTTCATCGGAAAGTTCAACTTTCATTTATCGTAAATAATTAGGGCAACAGCTATATTCTATCAAAATACTGCTCATTCATGTAGTATACAAGGAGTCCCATTGATGTTACCACTGCACTCCATGGAATTTTGAAAATAGAAATGGCTTTTTTTAGGTACCCAAATGAAAATAAGAAATTGCATTACACATATAAGCATATTTTGTCCAATATTTTGGTCAAAATTTTGAAAATAAGTGCACTTTTTCAAGAAAAATAGAGAAGGCTGTAAATTCACACAAAACCTAACCAGATGGGATTAGTCTGCTAGTATATATGTAAAAATTTCTATTTGAACCAACGAGTAATTTTCCTTGAGTTCTTCTTATGACAACATTTATGTGTCACATGCTGGCACAGATGCCAAGACAGACCCAGTAGTACAAGATGACAATAATGCGACAATTTTTTCAAAGAGCAACAATAAAAATGATTTCCTTTACCTGTGGTAACAGCAAGAACATGTGGTCCACTGCCATAGTCTATGGACAATATATTCTTCTGGCACAATGTTGACACTTTCCTTGGCTCTAGACTACTCTGTACATCACCTGTAACCATAGCAACACTTAGTTATATTAGCAAGAACATGTGGCCCACTGCCATAGTCTATGGACAATATATTCTTCTGGCACAATGTTGACACTTTCCTTGGCTCTAGACTACTCTGTACATCACCTGTAACCATAGCAACACTTAGTTATATTAGCAAGAACATGTGGTCCACTGCCATAGTCTATGGACAATATATTCTTCTGGCACAATGTTGACACTTTCCTTGGCTCTAGACTACTCTGTACATCACCTGTAACCATAGCAACACTTAGTTATATTAGCAAGAACATGTGGTCCACTGCCATAGTCATTGGACAATATATTCTTCTGGCACTATTTTGACACTTTCCTTGGCTCTAGGCTACTCTGTACATCACCTGTAACCATAGCAACATTTAGTTATATCAGCAAGTACATGTGCTCTACTGCCATAGTCTATGGACAATATATTCTTCTGACACAATGTTGACACTTTCCTTGGCTCTAGGCTACTCTGTACATCACCTGTAACCATAGCAACACTTAGTTATATTAGCAAGAACATGTGGTCTACTGCCATAGTCAATGGACAATATATTCTTCTGGCACAATGCACAATTATTATTATATATGTTCAAAGTGTAAATATTAAATGAGCCAGGCCACAGGAAAAGGGGTCTTATCACAGATTTTTCAATAAATTGATTTTTTGTTTATCTTAAAAAGCACAATGTGACCTTTCAAATGAGCCATGGCTTATGTCTTAACAGTTTTTCCTTGCATATATAGACAAAAAAATCGAATTCTAATTTAGCACATTATCCTCTTAATCTTGGGCACATTTTTGGCTCTGTAGCACAATTTTAATTTTTGTGATAAGACCAGTTTTCCTATGGCCAGGCTCAAATGTTATTATAGTACTAGTTAAATCATGCATTTCAAGAGTAATCAAAAAAATAGTACAGTGTACAACAAAATAAATCACTGATTTTTCCTTTTTTAAATGTCTGGAATATTTTATCAACTGATCATCTAGTTGAAAAAATGTTTGCACTCTTTGTGCAAAACTTTTCTGTTTGGTAATATTATATATAGACTTTCCATACATTGTTATTGTAGATGTGGGTACAAGGGGAAATCTGGTAATCAAAAAGTTCTGAATAAAATCTTTAGGATTTTCATATATATTATTAGAATTTCATGGAAACCCTTTAGTTATCGACAATCTACAAATTAATGAAATATACAAAGGAGAAATATAAAAAGGAGAAGTATACTTTTATAACACTAACATTTCTTATTGTATTTCTTAAAATCAGTTCCCGATATTGTCCCGTCCCTCAGGACTTTGGTCTCGGGATGGAATGGGAAGACACAACCCCTATGCACTGTAGATTTCGGTTCATGTTCAGGATGTACTAATTATCTGTAATATGACGCTAAAACTTCCCAATTCCGTGAAAATGATCTAGATTTACAATTTTCTTTCATTCTCTGCTAGATTACGTTCAAAAGATCTATGCTAATGAGCATAGCCGGAAGTTAAAGAAAAAAATGAAAGTTTTTGACTATTAATTGAGCTATTTTTTTTGTTACATGTATGTTTCATCCCAAAATTGATAATTCCTGTCCCGAAATATTTTTGTCCCGCGACATCCCTACTTAAAACAATCAAAAATTGAGGCAGAGTTTCTTTTGGTTATTGTAAGGCAAAAGAGAGTGAATTGTGCCTCTTACTGTTTCTGTTTAAAAGTAGTATGAGACAATAAACAACAACAATTAACAACAATATTCAGTGATCTCCCCAGGATTTTTTATGAGGTGGGTACAACATCCTCGTTTTCACAATTCAGACCAAAATTGGTCAAAATATGCCAATTTTTCATGATTATTCTCACTTTCAATTGGGTGCAAATGAATTTTCAGGTGGGTGCAAGCCTATTTTCAAAATCTCAGGTGGGTGCTGCACCCACTTGCTTTAATGCTGGGGAGATCACAGATATTTATATATTAAATTACCTGTTCCTAGGCAACCGCTACAGTTTGATCCTAGTGCATAAACATGATTTTCCTTTGTAATTAGCAGACTCTCGTTCCCAGAACTTCCAAACACGCAAATCATCCGCACTTGTGAGATAAATTCTGACGATAAAAGGCTAAATAGTGGCCACTTGCTAACATCCAACATTGTGAGAGATTTTATAGTTTCCGTAATACGTATGTAATGACACTCATTCTAGCTAGAAGGTCTTGCATCTGGCATATTGCAAATGGACATCCTCTTTGAATAATGTAGTATGTGGCTAGTTATACTCCTGTCCTGCAGAATGTATTTATGATTATGAAGTACCAAACTAGTAGCTCATACCCAGATGCCCTGAAATGAAGGGGCAAAATATCAAATCAATGTTGTGTTTGGGGCCGTTTAACAATATAACCTAGAGCATTAAAGTACCTATCACATAGGTAGACATGCAATGAACATCATATCAATTTCTAATTTTTCATGGTCAAAAGTTGTCACAGAAATTCTAAAAGACTAACCTCGGTTTGGAGAACGAAGTTCATCAGTCTACTGCATGTTATGCATGGTTTGGACAATTTTGATTATTTTACATATTGTAAATTTAAATGTCATTTTTGAATATTCATAATTTAATTTGGGTGTTATTTCTATATTTTTTATCAAAAAGTATTAGAGCAGTACACTGATGAATTTCTTTCTCCTAATCAATATTTGTCTTTTGTTGAATTGGTCTACTGCACGTTACGCTTGCTTCGGACAATTTTGATCAATTTTGTATCTTTGTTCAAAAAATGTCTAAAAAGGACACATTTTTTGTCACTTCCTGTTTTCCCCCGGGGGCCCGGGGGGTTCACTCTAAATAATTTGGGTAGGCATGTGCAGCAGGGACAATTTTGGCTTAGGGCATAAACCATGGAAACTGGCCAATCTGAGAGAAAAAAAACATGGAAAATTAGTTGAAGAGAGAGCCTTTTTTAAGTCAAAAATCAATTTTTCTACAAATAATGTTAATAAATCGGTAAAATCAGTTGGGGAGGTCTGGGATAAATCATTTAAAAAGTGGATTTTATAGTTACATACCAATATTTCAAGAAATTTACTCCCTTTTGTAAGTCCGAGAGGAAGTATAGATGGAAACTTTCAATCTTGAGAGGAAATTGACATGGAAAAAATGATCAAAAAGGGGGTCTTTGGGGCGGCACATAGGTATTAAGAAGTATATTGGAGTGAACCCCCTGGGACATTTCCATCGTCATCATTGCATCATTGTTGCTATTGTTAGGATATCAGCCGTGCTCTTCACAGGAACTTGAATCAACTGACATATTTTGGCTTTGTACAATTGTACAGGTATTCTATGAATATGCTGTCGGCAACCCAATATTATGTCGGGAGCCCTGAGTCAGGAGTTATACAGGTTCCTGTGATGCACCTTACAGCTGTAGAAATATCAGGCACAATCAGCACTAAACAAATTATAAGGAGAATTTAAATATCAAGATTGCATTGTGGGATCCAATCCTCCTTGTGGATGAGAAATGTCAAACTCAAAAACAAAACAAGTAAAAAAATCCAGAAAAATGCAATTTCAAATTGTTTTAGCGGACAATCAATAAGCCCAGAGCGAGTATTTCGCAAAATTATTTGAAGTCATATCTACAATACTATTTTCTTAATAATAGAATTGTTCATTTAACGGTGTTAATATGTGAGAAATGACGGAAAAACACAAAATCATCAACTTTCTCTTACCAACACGGAAGTACAGTTCTTTAATGCAGACAGATTTGTAAGCCTTACGTTGATTGGCTCAAGTAATTTATATTGTCCAATCAAATTGTGTCTTACTCAAAACGAGAACGGTTAGACTCTAAGTCGCTATAGCCAAACCATTCTCAAAATTCATTTCGTTCGTTGCGTACCTTCACTTCCTAGGCTCGGATATTGTAGCGAAGGAAAATACCCGGGGGAAAATAATTTCAACTTGGAATACTGGTTACCTCCCGGGAATACATAAGCCTTGTCTTGAACGGAATATTTGTTTATCGACTAATATTCCACCTTTGACAATTCATATGGGTATCAGACTGTGCTTATATTTTGCAACATAATTATTTTCTGAAATTAAAGGCAGAATCAGACCTATACTAAGGTGACAAAGTTACAAGCAACATGTACATTTGACCTACCAATCTGTTCCTTACAAGCCCAAATACAATATCTCCCAAGAATGCCAAGATCAGTGCTATGTTATCAATTGGTGAAGTTATTTAAGATTCAAAGTGCAAAAATGGGTTAAAAAATGTTGAAATTCTCCCAAATAATAAAAATGGTAACCATTCTTATAGAAAAATAATACATTATTGTAAAAATCTTAAGTTTTCCTGAAATAAAGTGTGCACTTTGGGTATTTTTAAAAAATAGACATGACAAATGACATGAGCCATAAATATTCTAAAATTGAAATTTTTTGTTTGCCTGCCCGCTAGATCTGATTCTCTCTTTAATCACATTGATTCAGTGCAAACTATTATAGTATCTATAATATTTTTTTTATTATATTGATATCTTTCCCCTGACAATATATTACAAGATCTCAGTTTGACATTTTCTTCATCCTAGGTTTGACCAATCTTTATTCTGGCTTAAAACAACATACTTTGTATTTCATACACTTATCATTAAGTTCGAGATGTCATTGACTGAAACACTTTTTGTAATTAATCATCATTCTTTTTCAAATGGAATTATCACGCGGTACTAAATTCGACCGTAAATTTGAATTTTTGACCTACCAGATGCTCGAAAATCAAGGATTGCGAGTCTCATACTGCACCGTTTTTCTTCAAACTTATACCATTAAATGCAAAACAAAATTGCCTTTCTGTCGGTGCATTACTTTATTCTAAAGAATCCCTCGTTCTAGCAGCGTTTTGGTCCCCGGCTGTTAGAAGGCCCTCTTACAGCTGGGAACCAAAATGCCGCTGGAAGTAGGGACTCTGTTTAAGAGAATAATGTACCAACAGAAAGGAATTTTTGTTCTGCTTTGAATGGATTAAGTTTGAAGAAAAACGGTGCAGTATGAGACTCATAATCCTTGATTTTCAAACATCCGGTAGGTCAAAAATTCAAATTAACGGTCGAAGTTAGTACCGCGTGATAATACCAATCTGCCAAACTCTAATGTCATTTTTATATTGGCCTCAGACAGTCCTAAAATATGGGCACCACACCCTAATAATTTTCCAGTGTTTGAAGAGCTTTCCGAAACGACAGCTTTTTTATTTTATTATGTTTAGGGTCATTCTGACCATACCCACTGATAATTTTGTGCAGAAAATTTCTTGTTTTTCCCCACAGGAAGGACATGATGATCAAAAGAGCGAATCCTCAAGATATTCAGTCTATTGGATACATATTATCATGTAAATGCAGTGGCGTAGGAACAATATACGCCAAAACGCCAATGCGTAGTGTTGAAAAGCTAGAATGAAATAGCTTAATAATTTCCTTATGTTCTTTAGTCATATTTCCTCATTGTTAATAAATTGTTTGTGATCTCGAGCACACTAAAGAAATGTTTTTGGAAACCATGTAATATGTTCGATTTTTTCAATAGTACTCTTTGCAAGGTTTTTGTTCCTCTGTTACTTTTTTCTAGCTTCGGCGACGATAAATGGCACTTTTTGGCGTAAAAATCAAGGTGATTTGGGGTAGAGGGTTATGATAGTTGGAAGTTTAAGCCAGTAAAAATGAAAGTACATTTCAACTTCAGTTCTAGGAAAGCAATTACCCTAATTTCTATTTTATTTGAAATATAATAGATTATTATTTTAGGAAATAAAGCATTTAGGCACCAATAATTATTTTGAAAGGAAAAAACAATTTACCACAAAATGTCACGTTGACTTTTGCATGGGCTTTATTTATCTTATAAAAAAAGTTGAAGACATTAGAGTTATGTTGTATCATTGATCACGGACATGTTTCTATTGATCATACTAGTTTCTTTAATCTGTATTGTTGAGATTTAAAAGATCGGCTTTCCATGGTGATTTTATATCATGAAAAACATTCGAACATTTTAAGCACAATTAGAAAGGTATTACTATAAAAATTACCTTTTACGAGCATAAAAGAGGCGTTTTGATTCGTTAAGATTTGACATAATTTTTTCATATTTTTGGCGTAGTGTTGAATTTACACCTTCCTACGCCCCTGAAATGTATTTTGAACTAGTAAAACTTACCGAAGGCCAAAAAAGCATCAAAGCATGTTTTTCTGGTGTGTTGTTTTGTTACTTTCTGTTAATACAGACATTATTGGCCACCTTCAATATCAAAGAGTTAGCATTATGTATCTTAATATCTCTATAAATCAAAGGGTTAACATTATCCATCTTAATATCTCTAGGTATCAAGTGGTTAACATTATGTATCTTAATATCTCTAGGTATCAAGTGGTTAACATTATGTATCTTTATACCTTTGGGTATCAAAGGGTTAAAACCATGTATCTTAATATCTCTAGGTATCAAATGGTTAACATTATGTATCTTATTATCTCTAGGTATCGAAGGGTTAACATTATGTATCTTAATATCTCTAGGTATCAAGGGGTTAACATTATGTATCTTAATATCTCTAGATATCAAAGGGTTAACAGTATGTATCTTACTATCTCTAGGTATCAAAGGGTTAACATTATGTATCTTGATATATCTAGGTATCAAAGGGTTAACATTATGTATCTTATTATCTCTAGATATCAAAGGGTTAACAGTATGTATCTTACTATCTCTAGGTATCAAAGGGTTAACATTATGTATCTTAATATCTCTAGATATCAAAGGGTTAGCAGTATGTATCTTACTATCTCTATGTATCAAAGGGTTAACATTATGTATCTTAATATCTCTAGATATCAAAGGGTTAACAGTATGTATCTTACTATCTCTAGGTATTAAAGGGTTAACATTATGTATCTTGATATATCTAGGTATCGAAGGGTTAACATTATGTATCTTATGGCTTCCAATTCATGCTCATTTGGAGATTTTAATTCTCACTGAAAACTTAAGCTTATCTGAATACCAAAATAGACTTAATTACTATTGGTAATATGGCCATACATTTGCGACATTAAAACGTTTGAAATAACATATCAGTCACATGGCACAAATACATGGGCACTGGAAAGTTCACCATCAGTGAATAAATGTGTCCGCATAAGACTAGTCCAAAGAAATTCATTCAATAAATACTGTACAACGGAAATATAGATATACAAACTAAAGCAATACTTTAACTTAGAGATGCAACATCTGGAATCTACATTTAATATGGAAAACATTATAGGCCATGGGACATGTAGCATGGCAAGTAGTGTTGATGGTGTGATAAGTAATGACGATGATGTGAAACATGATGCTGATCGTGTAATGAATAATGCCGATGGTGTAATACATGATGCTGATTGTGTGATAAATAACGCTGATGGTGTGATAAACAATGCTGATGATGTGATAAATAATGCTGATGGTGGAAAGATTATTACAAGAGATATCAAGAAACTAGCAAATGGTCATAAAAAAGAACATACTTGCGATGTATGCTATAGAGCATTCAAATGGAAGTCTGTACTGGTGCAACATTATAAAATCCATACTGGAGAAAAGAACTTCAAATGTGATATTTGTCTTAAAACATTTATGCAAAAGTCACATCTTCAATTTCATCATAAAACACATACAGGGGAAAATTACTCCAAGTGTGATATTTGTTCTAAACAATTTACACGAAAATATTATCTCACTAAACACACTCTAATTCATACTGGAGTAAAGAAATTCAAATGTGATGTTTGCCTTAAAACATTTATAGATAGGTCTAGTCTTAACAGACATTGTAAAATTCATACTGGGGAAAGGAACTTCAAATGTGATGTTTGTTCTAAAACATATATGTCCAAATCACATCTTCGCCGTCACTTTGGCATTCATACTGGTGAAAAGAATTTCAGATGTGATGTATGTTCTAAAACATTTGCACAAAATGATGATCTTACTCAACACATTAAAATTCATACTGGAGAAAAGAACTACAAATGTGATGTTTGTTCGAAGCCATTTATTAGAAAGGCTACTCTTAACAGGCATTATAGAATTCATACCGGGGAAAAGAACTTCAAATGTGATGTTTGTTCTAAAACTTTTAGAGAAAAGTTTTCTCTTACCTTGCATTATAGAATTCATACCGGAGAAAAGAACTTCAAATGTGATGTTTGTTCTAGACTGTTTTCACGAAAGTCTAGTCTGAACAGACATTATAGAATTCATACTGGAGGAAAAAACTTCAAATGTGATGTTTGACTCTTCCAAATTTTTTCATCTAAACTTACATCATAAAATTCATACTTGAGAAAAGTTCTTCAAATGTGATGTCTGTTCTTAGACATTTACGCGAAATTACAATCTAAACAGGCATTATAGAATTCATACTGGAGAAACAAAAGTCTGTGAACCTCTATAAACCTTTTACTATAACTATTATTTTTCAATATACACTTTTAATAGGGCTGTTTAGAAATTGGATGGAAATTGTGCTGCTGTCAAATGACCTACCTGTCTGTATTTTAGTTTCTTCAATGAAGTGTTGCCATTGTGAAAATTACTAGATTCAATGCTTTGTTTGTACTATATGTCACTAATGGATTATATGCCAATAGGCTTGAATTAAAGATTTAAGCCATGGACTCAGTGCATTGTTGACTTATTATCATTCCTCAAAAGTTTTGTTTCAATTATATATATTCTTTAGATTAAACATGGACTTATTATTGGTTTGTTCATACTGCGTGTAAATCTGTTGTACGTTTAAAAGTTCTTTAAAATTCATCAATACTAATTCGACAATGAAAACATAATTACATTGACGGTCATATGTTTTAGACTATTATTACTTTCATAATCATAAGGTGGATTGTAGGAAGGTAAAACCCATGAAATAACTACAGTGAACTATATTTGGTTATGGGATATGTTGCTGAATATTAAATTGTGTAAATAAAGTATATTCGGCCGGAAACAGTGTCTATTGTAATGTATGTTGTTTTGTATTTTTGCTATAACTCAGTAAAAAGTAATTGCATTTTAATTGTTATTTTACACATAATTATTTCTATTCTCATATATTTAATATTCATCGAGGTTATATCATAAGCTCCTCAACTTAGGTGTCAATGCATTCAAAGGGTTAACCTGTTAACAAAGGCCGTTTTCTCATAGTGATAAGGCCAACTGTGTTCTTTGTTATACTGATAATGCCAACTGTGTTCTTTGTTGTACTGATAAGGCCAACTGTGTTCTTTGTTGTACTGATAAGGCCAACTGTGTTCTTTGTTGTACTGATAAGGCTAACTGTGTTCTTTGTTGTACTGATAAGGCCAACTGTGTTCTTTGTTGTACTGATAAGGCCAACTGTGTTCTTTGTTGTACTGATAAGGCCAACTGTGTTCTTTGTTGTACTGATAAGGCCAACTGTGTTCTTTGTTGTACTGATAAGGCCAACTGTGTTCTTTGTTGTATTGATAAGGCCAACTGTGTTCTTTGTTGTACTGATAAGGCCAACTGTGTTCTTTGTTGTACTGATAAGGCCAACTGTGTTCTTTGTTGTACTGATAAGGCCAACTGTGTTATTTGTTGTACTGATAAGGCCAACTGTGTTCTTTGTTGTACTGATAAGGCCAACTGTGTTCTTTGTTGTACTGATAAGGCCAGCTGTGTTCTTTGTTGTACTGATAAGGCCAACTGTGTTCTTTGTTGTACTGATAAGGCCAACTGTGTTCTTTGTTGTACTGATAAGGCCAACTGTGTTCTTTGTTGTACTGATAAGGCCAACTGTGTTCTTTGTTGTACTGATAAGGCCAACTGTGTTCTTTGTTGTACTGATAAGGCTAACTGTGTTCTTTGTTGTACTGATAAGGCCAACTGTGTTCTTTGTTGTACTGATAAGGCCAACTGTGTTCTTTGTTGTACTGATAAGGCCAACTGTGTTCTTTGTTGTACTGATAAGGCCAACTGTGTTCTTTGTTGTACTGATAAGGCCAACTGTGTTCTTTGTTGTATTGATAAGGCCAACTGTGTTCTTTGTTGTACTGATAAGGCCAACTGTGTTCTTTGTTGTACTGATAAGGCCAACTGTGTTCTTTGTTGTACTGATAAGGCCAACTGTGTTCTTTGTTGTACTGATAAAGCCAACTGTGTTCTTTGTTGTACTGATAAGGCCAACTGTGTTCTTTGTTGTACTGATAAGGCCAACTGTGTTCTTTGTTGTACTGATAAAGCCAACTGTGTTCTTTGTTGTACTGATAAGGCCAACTGTGTTCTTTGTTGTACTGATAAGGCCAACTGTGTTCTTTGTTGTACTGATAAAGCCAACTGTGTTCTTTGTTGTACTGATAAGGCCAACTGTGTTCTTTGTTGTACTGATAAGGCCAACTGTGTTCTTTGTTGTACTGATAAGGCCAACTGCAATAAATGCATCATGAACAAAAGTTAATACCCTTTGCATTCGTTCAACTTCGCTTCTTAAAAGAGCTTCGTCTTCAGTAGTTTATAACTTGACTCTGCGCTCAGGGTAAAACGTTAAATTAAAGAGAGGATCGGATATAGCTGAGACTAACATAAACATGTTAGTCTCAGGATATAGCGAGCAGGTAAAACAAAAAATTGTTTCAATTTTAGAATATTTTGGGCTCGTGTCATTCCTTGTCCTGTCTATTTTCTAAAAATTCCAAAATTGCATACTTTATTCTGGAAAACTGAAGATTTTTACAATAATGTATTATTCTTCTATAAGAATGCTTACCATTCTTATTATTTGGGGGAATTTAAACATTTTTCGCCCATTTTTGCACTTTGAATCATTAATAACTTCACCAATTTATAACATATTGTGAATCTTTTGGGAGATATTGTATTTGATATTGTAAGGAATAGATTGGAAGGTCAATTGTACATGTTGCTTGTAATTTTGTCACCCCCATAAATCTGATTCTGCCTTTAATGCACTTAATACAGCAAATTTATTCTCACAGTTAACTTAAGCTTTATAAACTTTAGCTTTAAAATTTACATGGTAACACACTACCCTACCACGGCACGTGACCACGTTTAAAAGGGAAACAGGGTACAGCTTAGTTGCAAATGGAGGACGTGGGTTTCATTCCATATTTCTGAACGTAAAATACATTTTACATATATTTCTAGTGTTCTACCAGACATAGAATTGTTTCATCAAGGAGTGTGTAGAATATTGTTGGCAAAAAAACACTATAGGCAAAGATAGATAATAGTGGGCGCAGTGAAGCAAAACCAAATGCAATACACGATACATTTCAGTAAATCTATCAACGTACAGGGAGCATGTAAGTGTCCCTTCGAAAATGTTACATTGATATGTAACAAAAAAAACAGTTAACTGTTGTTTAAACTGCGTGTCATCGTGTTATAGGTGGATACGTTTTCTAGTATGTTAGTCAACTGTATTTTGGTGAATTTGAACAAAACATTTTGAATGGTTTTTAGGACGGTAGTGAATTAGACCATTCAAGGGGTTCTATAGAAAGATTCTTCATATGTAGTTCAGGCAATTTTAATTATTCTGAGTAGCAAATAGTCATTAATACTGATAGCGGATAGTCATTTATCATTAACGTGTTGATATTTAATTTCGTTATTTTATTTCAATTTGATACCCTAGAGTCCATTTCACTGCTTCATTTCGTCAGTAGAACGGCAAAAATAAGAAATTGGGAGACCATTGTGCAATAGTATATGGAAAAGTATATTCATAATGTACATGAATGACATTTGTATATTTCAGATTTTTTAGTTTTTTGTGCAATAAGCCTGTGCCGTCTTGTAATTTGAAGAATTTCAGCCATGTTAATCATATTGAAAATAACATGGCAGAGAAACATCCAAATATAAGAGGCCACACACTTTATAAGCCAAACTAGAAGCAATCCAAGATATACAAATGTCATTCATGTACATTATGAATATACTTTACCATATATTATTGCACAATGGTCTCCCAATTTCTTATATTTGCCGTTCTACTGACGAAATGAAGCAGTGAAATGGACTCTAGTAACACGTATAATCTAGTGTTCTTGTTAATTTAATGACTAAAATGCATACGACTTGAAAGCCCGTGTCTAAATCTACAAAATAATGTTTACTTTATTTGGATTAAATAACAATTGATGACACCTCAAAGCATCAACAGGCGGCCTTTTTAGCATTACTTTCACTGTTTGCAACGTAAATGTACATGAGGTCGGGACATAGTATGTCTGTATAATCAGCTTACTTTCTCGCTCCCTGTACTATTGAACAATTTACATTCCTTGTACCCTGTATTGATCAACTTTTGCAGCTGTGTACCGTTTACTATGACATATCAAATATTTAAAGATTTAAAACGATATTATTTACATTATTTCTTCAACTATCATATAACTTGGAACATGGACTTCACTATTGCACCACTGAAGTGTAGCGAATAGCAATATTGACTCACTCCGAGCACCAAACGTATTAACCTTTTGACTAAGCAGTCGATATACTCAAAAGCGACATGTTTGAAAGCCAAAAGATTCGCGCATGCGCGATCGAGGTAGGGTAGTGTGGGTAATGCCAAATGGACTTAATATTGTTTCTTAACTGCATACATAGCTTTTAAACTACTAATTTGAATAGCAGGGGGCAATGAAACCTATTCAAAGATTACGCCAACATTACATTCACATTTTTATCGTATGATCTGTAAAATGAAGCCCTCTGATTGGTCAGTTCTTGTGCTGTACCAACCTGTATTGCTACTGAGATTGTCCCCGTTGATCATCTCCGTCGCAATACAGAAAATATTGGTACGGGGGGGACAATCTCAGTGGCAATACCGAGGATCACACGATAAAAACGTTATTGAATGATTTGAAGTGCAATACAAGATATATTCTGTCTCGATATTCTGTATTGGAACTCAACTTCGTCTCGTTCCAATACGGAATTCTCGAGCAGAATATATCCTGTATTGCACTTCTAATCATTCAATAACTTATAATATTATGGCCTAACAATGGTTAAATTAATACACTTAAGATATACCGTACTGTACATGTAGATATTATCCGCACAATAAGCTTTAGCTGATTTGTGTGCAAATATTAACAATGATTATGAACAATTGTATAAGTGTACTTGGGACACATATCAGCTAAAGCTTATAACTGTGCAGATAATAGAGACTTAAAATCTGTTAGAGAGAAACTGCACCATTCCGGAACTAGCATTTGAATCACAAAGGATCACAGGTGAAGATATTATATTCCAGCAATTAAAGACAGACTTTCTGAACCACCTGGTTGCTCATTAGACCTTATAAGGCAAGTCACATCCATTAGGCTTGTCAATCAAATCCTTATCCAATCAGCTAATAGTGATGCTTTATGGGATAATATTTATGTTTTTAAACATAACAAAAGCACATGTTATAATTTCATACTTTACAGTCAGTGAACATGAACTGAATGATAGCAATTGACCAACATTTTTTTAACCAAGAGTCTTCATACATTTTGTTATGCTTGCTACATAGATTTTCCAGTTAATATATGTAAAGTAAATGTAGGTCTCCTTTAGGTAAATTGATTCATGTTCTAATAATCCCTAACATTTAAATTTGATATCATAAAGCAATTGCTTTTGGGGTCATTTCAAGAATTAAATGTAGATACCAGCACAAAAGCTTGAAATGTATGGGAAATAAATTCTGTACAAATTGAAAACTTGTATTGGTTCTTTCATCTGGTCCCTACCTACCACAAAGGGTTGCACTAAGTCATTCCCTTCATTTATGCAATAATTCTGCACTTTTCAACCTCTATTACCATGTTGTACCAGGGTGTCTCCAAATTTGAAATTGATGATCTTTTATATTTATGTAACCATATGCAAATGGTAAGAGATAATGAATTGTCCCATTTCCTAGGGTTGTTCCATATGAGACCCATTCTTATAAATTTTC